ATATTGGCAGACAGCCTGTCACTCAAAGCAGCCCTCCCTTAATTATGCGTAACTGTAAGTCTAAATAAAATGCAAATGGGGGAGTAAAAAGTAAAAATATTAAAAGTTAAAATATTCTAACTTCAGATGGCAGTGCTGTCTACCATTACTGTTTCTCTGCTGGTCTCACCTAAATTCATCATCCTGCTCTCGTCCACTAAACTGATATCTGGTTTGCCATCGACTGTTTGCCTGATTCCATGTTAACACGGCATATTGGAATAGCTTACTGTATATCCAGACACACCAAACCAACATGGCCAAAAATTTGCACTTGAACACACCAAGAAGACTACAGCTGGGCCAACCAAAACGTACTTTCTGCGACAAAAGCTTACCGATGGCTCAACCTTGACAGGTGGCTAACTGTCGGCTTTGTGTGTCAGTGATTGGTGATTTAAATCTTGTCACCATAATTCTACAATTGTCTTATGTCACCACTGAATTCTACTGCCGTCTAATGGATTTAAAGATGTATGGCACTTATTCCTCCAAGTCCAAATGCCTTATCTTGCGATGTGATTCAGGTTCTTCTTTGGCCCATGCTACACCCTTCCACCAAGTTTCATGAACATTGGGCCAGTAGTTTTTCTGTAATCCTTCTGACACACAAATAAACAAACCAATCGAACCAGTGGACCCTAGTGGACGTAGCAAGATCTAAATGATCGTGAATGTTGGCCTTATGTTCTCCAGGTGGTCAGACACACAACTTTAAATGAATGATTATGTAGCTCTGTACTGTTTCCTAACAAGTTCACTGTTTCACAGTTAAATTTTCTCTTCTCTTCCTCAGATAAAGCAGGAGCTGGGTAACACGAGTGTGACCAATGTTTTAGGATGGAGGAAGCAACCTGATGGAAGAGTGTTTATCAAGGAATCAAACAGAACTGGCTGAAGAGGGAGGGACGAATCAGAGAAGCAGATTTAACTCTACACTCTAATCTGAAGAATTTCTATATGTAAAATGTATGTTTACTCACAGCTTCATTCACAGTGACAAAAATTACTAAGAACCAAATGTACCGGCTCTACTATGCTTTAAGTTAGCTCTTTATTTTGGTCTTACCACACATTTTTAAATTCTTTTCCTTGCACTACTTTGTTATATTCTTATTTAGTTTTTACTTATGTGATTGTCATTTTCTTTTTTGTACATATTCAATCAGCATTGTTGGAGGTATCCTGAGATAATGAATGCTTCTCTGTAGTTGTTACGCATATGATGAATAAAGAACCTGGACTTGAATCTCTTTTCCAGCAACAACTAGTCACTTTTTTCTATCAAAACCAAAAAAAGAAAAGCAGAAACTAATTTAGCAGGTTTAGGACATCTCGGGGAAGTCATTCCAGATCTCTGTGGCTTCAATCGGCCACAAACACAACTCCCATGAATGCTCTGTTGCTCCATGTGTACTGGACGAGTCTTTGCTGTGGAAGCTCCAAAGCTTTAGTAAACCTTTCACTCTCTCATCCGCCCCTGTTGACACTTAAAGACAAAAATAATCAGACATACATGATGAGACAAATGATGTTTAACATTCCTCAGTCCAGGCGTGAAACAAAGGGCGATCATACTTTTATTGTTTAAGCCCCAAAGCTGTGGAACAAACTTCCCCTTAACTTTAAATCAGCTGAGTCAGTTCCACAGTTTAAAAAGCTGTTGAAAACCCACCTGTACAGTGATGCCGTCTTGCTACAGACGCATAGATTCAGCACTCTGTCTATGTGCAATACTTTAATTGACGACGGAGCCAGCACACAACAACAGAATCTGTCCTCAACATGTGTCTATGGCTGCTCAGCTCCTCCAGCACGTCTCCCAGTCCATTCAGATTTTAAACCAAAAAATCATTCAGTGACCTTCTCCTTGGTCTGAGCCGCAGTCCTCTGAGGGCCAGCACACTGCTGCATGAAAGAGGGAGAGATGTAATCAGAACAAACCAGCAGCAGCTGCATCACTATGACAGAGAGTAGTACCAGGTGTGTGTGAGTAGTACCACACACACACACACTTACCTCTCCCCTGCAGCTGACCACTAACTACACCCACCTCCACATACAGATTGTCATTTGTATAACATTGTATAATTTTGTATGTGACTGTATGTATATGCACATATGTATGTGGATATATGTATATATGTATGCATGTCTGTGTGTGTGTGTGTGTGTGTGTGTATTTTAGATACGTATATATATCTACATGTATATAATTTTTAAATTGCATTTTCTGTAACTGATGTTCTTTTACTTCTTTGTTTTCTCATATTTTATGACACTGTGTACTGTGAAGCACTTTGTAAATCTGGTTCAGAAAAGCGCTACAGAAATAAAGTTATGGTTATCATTATTAATTAATTAATATATTTATTTATTCATTAATTTTTCTGGGAAAAAAACTCTCAAAAAATTATCAAACAATATTTTGTCAGACCCCCACTGTATTAACTCCAAGGACCCCCTAGGGGTCACAGACCCCCGTTGAAGTCCTATGCTCTGCAACATTTCAGTGGGAGATATTGTCCTTTTTTACTTTTAATAGTCTTTCTAGATTAAATCAGACAATTTATACATTATGCTATACATTTTCTTGATTGTATTTACATATCCTACAAAAAAATATTATTGAAAATTTGACTTTTTAATCTCTTTATTGTGACATGTAGAAAAACAAATTATTAATGTGTAAATAACATAGACTGTATAAGGTAAATAAATATGGATGAAGGCTGAACTGTGAGGATGATGACGTCTCCTCTCACCTGTCAGCCACGCTGAAGCACTTCTGAATGAACTTTCTAGACTTCTGTGGAACTGATCATTTCATTAGAAGAATAGGGGATGACACCCGTTGTGATTATGCATTTTTGGTGTCGTCGCTGTCGGTAATAACGATTTATCCTGCATACATATCTTATCTTCATTGATTAATCTTTTTAAGAAAAAAATGGTTAAGATACCGAATAAAATTTTAAGTATTTTGGGGGCTTTAACTTCGTACACCCCCGCTAACAGTACACTAGTGGTACATTCCAAATGACAGCTCAACCTGGGCTACTCTGTGTGCCTGAGCCTCAGCGCTGCAGACTGATTCAACCCCGGGAAGCAGAGTTTAAATAAACAACTTGGCGTTTTATTTGTGTTTAATTTCAAAGTTTAAATCCCCAACATGGCCGCTCCTAAGAAGGGAGACTTGTCTTCAAGCGAAAAGGAGTTGTTTGGGGTTATTACCGAAGGTAAGTCTTTCCGGCTAACGCTAATCCCTGTGGAACCACACACAGGGGCTAGCGCATGCTAGCTTGTATGAGAAGTTACGTTACAAATATTACGTGATGTAATGTGATCATTTCAGCCTGACACTCTCGCTGTTCGGTGACTGCTTTGTTAAATCAGGAGTTAGCTTAAATGTGAGTTTGCTTGCTAAGCTTGGTGGTAGCTAACGTTAGCTTACAGAGCATGTGTAGCTTACTTCTGGTGGCTAGCTGTGTTGACATGCCCACCTCAGTGAAGTCAACCTGCAGGATAACATGCATTTTTAACGTTGTGTCAGCCGAAGTGTTTGTGTTGTGCATGCATTAATTGTATATATGTAATAATAAAATTATAACAGGAATATTCATGATCAAACCTTTAAATCATCTTGTTCAAAGAGGTGGGTTTACTCTCCAGAGCTGTATAAATTGTTGGTAAAGCTTCATGTTGTATTTATACTTTCTTAATTTTGTGCTCTTAGGAAATGTTCAAGAGGCCTCAAGACTGCTGGGCTGTAAGGATGTTCGAGTCAACTGCCTGGATGAGGTAAACAGCATTTTTGACTCTTAAGCAGGCTGACACATCAGATGATAACCTTAATTTCTCCCAGTTCACATGTTTCAGGTTGTGTATTATGAAAGCTTAATGCATTCACTTGAGAAAATATTTGACAGATAAGTATCTCAGAATTCTGCTAAAAGCTTTCATTAAAAATGTTTTTTTGCATTCAGGATTCAGAATCAGAATGAGAGTTATTACCAAGTTGGTTTTCACTTACAAGGAATTTGCTTTGGTTTTTGATGCGTAAACTAAACATATAAGAACATATTAAGAGAAAGAAGAAGAAGAAGTCAAATAACACTTAAACACTCAAGAATATAAGAATAAAAATATATTATATCATTATGACAAAGATACTTTAAAAAGTACTATAATATAACAGTTATGTACACTAAAGCTGTTTCAGAAAAAGAGCGCCGTACAGTTTTGTGTAGGAAGAAAAGGAGAAAGAAGTTTTTATGTTTTCCTGCATCAAATGACCTGACAGTTTTTATAAGGTTTGCCTTGTGTTGGACACAGTTAGCAAAGCCTCATCTTGCATCTCTGACCTAAATGTAATCATCAGTGCAGAGGTGTCAATTGTCAAAATGATGAATACATTAGAGGCACAGACTGATGCTTGTCATACTAAGTATCTGTAGATGCCTCTGTTTTGTAAAGATAAGATATACTTAGATCTTTTAGCAAAGCTCTTCCTTTGTTCTGTGACATATGTGTGGGACAAGAGCCGCACTGAAGGGCTTTGAAAGAGGTCCTTCACGTCCTGTCTTTCTGTCTGTCACTCTTCTCTGTCCGCCTGTCAAAATCAGGTGCTCGTAACGGATGCCATGTTAAGTGATAGAAACTGTGTCAGTGTTTGCTCATGTAGAAGTTTAATTATCCTTGTAAATCCTGTATTGTTTGTCATGTTTTATTGTTTGTCTCATCTACAGTATGGAATGACTCCTCTCATGCACGCTGCTTACAAAGGAAAAGCAGAAATGTGCAGGTTGCTGCTGCAGCACGGAGCAGATGTGAATTGCAATCAACATGAGCATGGATACACAGCGCTGATGTTTGCAGGCCTGTCAGGTATGTTGATGATTACAGAGATCACACATTAAAAATCTCATCTCTGTTATTTTGTTACCTTCTCTCTGTATGTGTTGTGACTCCTCTTTGTTTGTGCCTGCAGGTAAGACTGATATCACGTGGATGATGTTGGACGCGGGGGCAGAAACAGACGTAGTCAACTCTGTCGGGAGGACCGCCGCACAGATGGCTGCCTTTGTTGGTACGTCTGTTTGTGACATACACACAACAGTCAAGTGTTCTTAGCCCCTGTGTCATTATGCACACAAAGACGAGGGAGCACACACCACTTCTCTGTCATTCAGGAACATTTACCCAGTGACTTAAATCCTTAAAGGTATACTTCACACCCCAAATGACCATGTGTCTATCAGTTACTCGTCCTGTGTTACGTTGAATTTGTGAAGGAAACTTTGTTTTTTCTTGCATAATGCCTCCGGTGAACAAAGGCTCCAAAAATGGAGAAAAATTCCTGATGAAATGGAGTCATGGGGTCCACATTTAACAACAACAAAACTACATCAAAACATCTGTTCACAAACTCTCACACAACTCATGCACTATAATCCTCTTTTATCCAGTTGGATGCTCAGTACTTCCCAAACAGACAGCTCTTTCTGACGAGGAGCTGAACTAAAAGTGAAACTTATCTTTGCTCTCTTCAAAGCCAGACTCCATTGGCGAAAACCGTAATTTTACCTCACTGAGCACGGGAGCTGCTGGTCTACCACTGCTTTAATTGGTAGTTTGTTTGTGCTGTTTTGTGACTTTGGTGTTTTGAAGGGTTAGTTTGGATTCCCCAAAGTCGCACAAACTAACTAACTACTTGAGGCAGCAGTAGATCAGCAGCTCCTGTGTTCAGGAAGGTAGAATTCCTTAAATAGAAGTATCAGACAGATGTGTTTGCTTTTCTTAGTCAAACTGCAGAGAGGCTAAAATCTACACTTGTATAATTTGTGTATTTTGAAGAAAAAACGGCCGAAAATGAGAATGTAGCCCTGCAGCTTTGAGAGTGGTCAAGACAAGCTCGTACAAGTTTGAAATGCAATTTCTTTACAAACATGCTTGAAGATTTGCCAAAAGCACTTTGCATATCACAACTCAACAATAAATTTGGGAAATCACTTGAAAAACGTAAGTAGTAACTAGTAGGCCTAATATGCATTTTCCAGTTCCACCGGTCCGCTCTGAGTCTGGTGTCAGAG